ACCCCCCACCCCACACCCCCACCCCCACCCCGCCCACGCACACGCACACGCACACGCACACGCACACGCACACGCACACGCACACGGCCACGGCCACGGCCACGGCCACGGCCACGGCCACGGCCACGGCCACGCACAGTGCACACGCACACGCACAGTGCACACGCACACGCACACGCACACGCACACGCCCACGCCCACGCCCACGCCCACGCGCCCGCGCCCGCGCCCGCGCCCGCGCGCCGCGCCGCGCGCCCCGCGCCCGCGCCCGCCCAACGCACACGCACACGCACCACGCCCACGCCCACGCCCACGCTCACGCTCACGCACACGCACACGCACACGCCCACGCCCACGCCCACGCCCACGCCCACGCCCACACGCACACACGCACACGCACACGCACACACGCACACGCACACGCACACGCACACGCACACGCACACGCACCCGCACCCGCACCCGCACCCGCACCCGCACCCGCACCCGCACCCGCACCCGCACCCGCACCCGCACCCGCACCCGCGCCCGCACCCGCACCCGCACCCGCACCCGCACACGCACACGCACACGCACACGCACACGCACACGCACACGCGCACGCGCACGCGCACGCGCACGCACACGCACACGCACACGCACACGCACACTCACACTCACACTCACACTCACACTCACACTCACACTCACACTCACACACACAAACACCGGATTCCCACTAAAAGGGGGCGCCCCCAAGCAAAGTCAACCAGGGGATTTGGGTGTGTGTTTTTCAGGAGAACCCCCCAAACAATATAACATACCTGGAACTTCCGTGTTGCGAAAAAAGCGCCGTTTGCTGAAACAGCAATAATTGTCGCCGGTCCCACAAAAAAACGTTGTTTCAAAAAAAAAAGGTCGTCAATGGCACCTGTTTCACTTGAAGAAAGGGGGGGGGGTAGCATGGAAGACAGGATCGCCGCCTTCTTTTTGCCGGCCTTCGCCGCTCTCCCAGGTTGCGCGCAATGATGCGCAATTCACAGCAAAGCCCAACAGCACCACAGAAGCATTGCAAATCGCAATGTCAGTTGAACGGTAACCTCTCTTGAAGGAAAAAAGCTGCACACTTCAACACAGTTGGCGTGGTTGGGCCCGCTGTGCGGATCCAAAGCCTGTCTCGGCCTTGGGCTTAGCACAGTGTCCAGCGTCAACCACGCCGTTGCCTGAAACGCTTCAGGAGTATGCCAGCCTTGACTAGAAAGCACTCAAGTACCCGTTGTTGCATTAGGCGACTGCTGACTTTTCTGGATAGGGTACAAACCCTTCCAATAAGGTCCTCGTTCTGTTCGCATCCAAACAGCATTGGATTGAGGATGAACGAATGGTTGGCTCGAGCAGCATCCAGAAGTTCCAACTGAACGTGCTTCAGATAATGAAGCTTTGGCTTGAGGCCCCATCCATTGAATTCAGAACGCAGAGTCTGAGCGGCCAACCAAGCAAAGCCTCGCAAGAACCCAGACGCTTGCTCCTGCAAGACAGTGGCGCAGTCTTTCTGAAGCCAGATTCCATGTGTGTTCTGGACCTCGAAGAATCTGATTGCAGAGCATGCTGTTTGATACATAACCTCAAACATGACGCCGTGGGTGGGGTCCTGCAAGTCGAACTGCTGGGTTGCCGAAAGTGTCCTCAGCCACTGCAACATCAGCATCGTGTCTGAGCCTTTGGAATTACTCCACGGGAAGCTCCGACTGCTCTTGTAGTTCATGAAGCTTTTCGTAAAGGACCTGAGGGACATGGTTTTGTGGTTCGCGTGGCAGAACAGCTTGAAGGACCCAAAGGCTACCCCCAGTTTTGCAGCCACATCGCCAACATTGCCGAAGTAGCTGTGTTGCACAAGCCACATGACGGACGAGCCCACAAAATCCCTGAAGACCCCCACCTTGCAGGTGTGGAAGACGTCGATCTTCAGGATTTTTTCTGGGACCCCCTGGTCAAATGGAAGCCGCGCCAAGCACGGTGAGTTGGCATGGCTCCAAGGCCTGGACGACCACATCGTCGCCTTCCAGGCTGGGTCGTCCGAGAAATCCTCGTAGGCCAGCCGGGCATTTGACCCAGCAAGGCAAGAGCAGCACATCGCGCGATCTCGAACCCGGCCCTTGTTCTCGTAGCCCCTGATGAGTTTCCCAACCTTTTTCAGCCACTTAAGGTCTCCCTTTTGGCCTACGATGGCGAACGCCCAGGTGGTGTGTCCAACTCGCACCCCCTCGAAGAACAAAGACCTCAAACTGTCCACAGTCAGGTCCATGAGCTGGGAGATCAAGGGGTCGTAGTCTCGGTTGAGCGTGGCCGGCACAAGCCACAAAGGCCAGTGTTGAAGGAAGGAGTGCCCAGTCATGTTGGTGCACTGGCTCGAAGCCGGAAGTGTGTTGTGCCTATCTTTGTAGAACATCGAGTTTCCCAGTTGCACCTGCGGAGCGCAGCTCTGGCAAGTGCCATATCCCCGCCTTGACTGTTTGTTCAAGACAGTGTGGATTCCGACAGCCGCCTCCAAAGAGACCACAGCAACATTGGCCCGGCGAAGTCCTTTACCTTCGTCGCCATGGACGATGAGGGGAACAACGTACCCAAGAGAGCCTGCGTGCTCACTACGAAAAACCTCATGCTCGGGGTGTGCTTTTTCATAGCACCTCCAGAAAAGCTCCAGAGAGCGGACGCCCTCCACTTGGTTGTCAAATCCACCCCAGCAAACTTCCGGAGCTTTCTCCATGATGTATTGGAGCAAAGAACGAGGCTCCAAGTAAGGCACATTCATCGGGCCATCCTCAGTCTGCATCACATAGGTGCTCTGCTTGACTTTCCACCCCACACCCAAACGTTTCAGATGTCGGTGGGCATCCCTTGACGCGTTGCTGTACTTCTTCTTCTTGTTTGCTGGGTGAGCTCCCCAACGCTCCTCCAAGGAGCCGTGCCTCATCTTCTCCAAGGTGTCAGCGGGCACCTTGGATCGTGGTTCCAAGTGGTCCGTTTCTTTGGCGGTTTGGAGTTGGGTCAACCACCACTGTGTGGAGAAAAAGCTTCAAATGGGTTTTGAGGAGGACCAAAAACCATTTTGATTTGGGAAGAAGCTTCAAATGATTCCTCGTTGGGCTCCCCCTACTTTGACACACCTGGCGAAGGTTTCCAGGTCCTGGGTTTTGAAAACAGCGATCGACACACCTTGCGACAAGATTTCAATTGGGCCCGTGCCATTGAGGGTTCCCTTTTTGAGCCAGTTTTAACCAGAAGCAACAACAGTTTTGAGTCTTGAGGGTCCCTATTTTGACACACGTTGCCGGGACAAGGTTTCACATGGTCCGTGTTTTTTTATTTTATTATGGGGCACCTTTTCATGGCCCCCCACCATTAGACACACCCTGGTTTCAATGAGTGCTTGAGACGGTACCCTTCCAAAACCAGGTTTTAAAGGGCGCCAATCGCTGCGGGACCCTCATTCTGACATTTGACACATGCCCAATTCCAGGATGACAAGGCTTGGTCGCTGAACTCAAGAGCATCCTCATTGTTCGCAGATGGTGCCACCCATTGCCAAAACTCCCAACTGCCATGCCAGGCAAGGCCGAGAGGGCTTTCCTCCAACACCAACAAATTACATTGTTCGGGTTGGACTCTCAGCTCTCAGAGTGGTCAGTCAGCAAGTCTAAGAACAAGGCTGCATCGGCAAGGCCCTCTGCGTAGGCTAAACCAAATGGCCCAGCTTGCGCCTGCTCTGCTTCTTCAGCAAGGCCTGGCCGTTAAGAATTTGCAGAGCATCCCCAGCAGTGCAAAGTCAAAACTACTCACGCTCTTGGAAGTTACCTGTCTTTATGGCGGGACAAAAAAGGTGCCATAGACAACCAGTTGACTTTTCTAGCCGGCAAGGCTCGCGCCTTTTGATCCCCCAAGCCAACTGCCATGCAGCCGGCCCCCATGTCTGAAGCCAATTAAGCTTCACACGAAACTGTTTGCGCTGGCCAGGGCTCCTTCCGCAGGATGGACTTGGTAAGGGCACCAACTCAAAGTCTAACTGCTAGTTGCAAGCATAAAGTGAGGTGTGTTCAATTCACTGAACTGCTGCCCCTGTCCAAAACGAAGCAAAATCAAAATCATTCATTTGTCAGCCTTGTCGGCTGGCTTCGCACGCTTCTTCAGCTTGGATTGACCAGCCTTTGGCTTGGCCGCTGCAGTCTTTGCCCCAGCACTGACACGCCTTTTAGGCGCTGGCTTCTTCGCGTTCACGGCAGGCAAGGTCGGCCTGGAAGACCGGGGTCGGGGGCGTGTCAAAACTGTTGACTTTTACTCCGAGTTTGTTTGACCATTATTTCGCCCATCAGTCTTTTCAGAAACAAGTAACTTCTTTTGGTCTAAAGAGATGGG